CGCTGACGGGCAAGGTCCTGCGCATCGGCGGCTTGCGCGAGAAGACGGTCCCCGCGCGCCGCGCCGGCTCAAAGATGATCATCTTCCCCAAGGACAACATGTCCGACTGGCTCGAGCTGCCAGAGGTGCGTTTTCTCTTAGCCCCCCCCTTCTCATTACTCTTCCTCCCCCCCCCCCCGAGCAGCGACTAACACTCAACAGAACATCAAGAACGGCATCGAGGGCAAGCCTGTCGGATGGTATTCTGATGTCTTTAACCTAATCTTCCCCGACGTGGATCTAGAAAAGGCCAACACTAGCAAGGTCGCCGACGAAGAGAAGCCGGCTGACAAGAGCGACTGAGGAGGCTACACCGTGTGTTCTTCCGAGACGAGGCCCTGATGAACTCCCTCCCATCACGTCCCCATAGAGCGCTGCGTTTTCGTCTGTCTTTACTGCAGCTAGAACCACGCCTCGTCAGGCCATAGACTTGGCCGCCGCCACGGAAGCCTGAAGATCAGGCATGTTCGGATTCTTTTACGTGCCGGCCATGAGCAAGTGCTAGACGTGGGGATGCCAGGCTCAACGATGCTTGGCCGTGCACACGATGCATCATACATACACAACACAAACACCTTCGGCACACATTGACACGACTAGACGAAACGGCTCTACTCCGCATCTTTGCGTTTCTTTTTCTCCCCATCCTGCGTCGCTGGAACACAGCGAAATGTACTTGTAGATCTTGAGCATGTGGAGGAGGAGGAGCAGGAGCAGGAGCACGTGGGCGGGTTCCTCTCCCGTCTTGGTCCACGTCGCGAGAGACGGAGAGATGGGAAATCCGTAGAACCATTGTATACTACTCAGCATGCGGCCCTTGTCCAGGCCCGGCGAATCACTTGTTACACCATGTCAATTGCCTGCTGGCGAACGCACTCGTCGGATCGAACTAGCGATGGTCACCAAGCCGGTTTGTCGATCGCATCGTGAACTAAATATCCAATCGCAGCATAATCAGAACAGAGCATCCACCGATTCATCACCTCATCCAGTGGACGATTTTGAGGCGAATATCGCATGATGCACATGTCAGCCTAACTGTGCCCAAGGAAGGGTAATGACCGCATTGCGTACACACACAGTCATTACGGTGTGATATCAATGGCTCCCAGGCCGGGATTGGGTTCGCATATGCAGGGAGTCTGGGGTTGTGTGCGAGATCGAAATCAGGGGTCTGCAACTGGGTCGCGCGAGCTGGTGGGACGGTAGTCTTGAGCTGACCGCTGGCGAACGAATGCTGGCGACACTGCAAACAAATCCCTATCCCGGTCGGACTTGAAGGGGCGAAGGCCCCATGCGACGACGGACTTGCCCGCGGACCGTGGCGACGAGCACAAGCTCCCGAAGCTATTATCGGCGATCACGGATTTAGCCCGCGGGACGAAGCGTCGTGTAGGCATGGGGATGCCTGTCCAACTGTGAGGGCTCAAGCGTCTCACCACTTATG